TTCTATTAAATAGCCTCTATTACTTTACGCACATGTTTTCCTATATATGATATGTGTCCATCCTTTTTCGCTTGAGATGGCGAAGGATTGGTAGTAGAATTTTCCCACAATTATATGAGTAGAGCTTACGTTTTCATTGAATTTCACACAGCCCTGCTTTCTCAGAAGGTTTTCTTATTCAATGTGGATTGCAGTTTCGACCTTGCATAGGTCTTATCAACACCCCCAGCAGAATTCGAACCATGACAATGCAGCATGTAATCTCGACACGTTATTTCGCAATGTGGCGTAGTGGTTAACGTGTCGAGATTACATACTGCACTGTTATGGTTCGACTCCCACTAGACATGTTGGAAAGACCTAGGCGGGGTTGAAATTGCAGTCTATCCCGGATTCGAACACCTTTTGGGAGATCAAGGATATGTGAAATTGAATGGAAACGTTAGATCTGTTTATATCATTGTGAGAAAATTCAACTACTAGTCCTTCATTACCTTAAGTGAAATAGGGTGAAGACATAATTTACTGGTAGTTTCGAAAACCTACCCACCAGCTAAAAAAGTAATTTCGTCTTCTGCTATAAGAAATATAAGTTTGCTTCTTCGACAATCCTAACACAAAATGTGATATATAAAAGGCCTGATCTTCCTTGAAATTCACATCTGCCCTGTGATCTAAGGGCATTCGTGGCAATGCAGTGTAGTGGTTAACGTGTCGAGATTGCTCTCGACACTGTCTTGTTTCAACTCCCACTGCTGGTGCTGATAACACCTATACGAGGTCGAAGCTGCAGTCCACCCTGGATAAACACATCTTTGGGGAGATCAAGGCTTTGCGGAATTCAATGGAAACGTTAGCTCTACTCATATCATTGTGATAAAATTCATCTGCCAGTCCTTCATCACCATAAATTAGATAGGATGAATACATGTCATATAGTTGATTCATTAGTAGTCTCGAAAACCTAGTCATTATTAAATGTTTTCAATTTTTTCCTCGAGGTCTACATGCTCCAATTCCCTCGCATTTTTAGATTAGTTGGTCTTTTTTTCAGATCTCTACTGCCTCTACTTCTAGTCAAGTCACCGGATCTATTTCCAGCTCATCCGTTGTGTCTCCCCCCCCAAGCCTCTTTAATGTCCCTTTGTTGCAACGCATCTGTTTCGGCATGCTCTGTGGACTGCATGCAAATGGCCAAAATGCCGAAACCAACCTGATTAGGCTGCTTGGTGTTGGAGTGCGTCTTTTCGCCGCAGCTGGCCCTTTTGTTACTCGGATCCACTTAGCTCCACTTCTGATCTCTGCTATTGCTAGTTCAACGGCTGTGGATCAGGAGGGTGCCCATTCTGGCAAACCAGAGAAACTTGATCTAGATGGAACTGAGACGACAACTCACCAGGACGCTGTAGAGGTGCGGAACTCTTTTATATGGCCCCATACTTATTTTCCTTATTTTAGAGCTTATTTTCACAATTATAGGCTCGGCTAATTTGTGATTTTATTGCTAAAATATGAGACAACGACATCGTTCTTAATATCTCATCAGCCTCTATGAGACGGGGATGGAATTAAGGAACATTGTTTAATTCTATAAATTATTGTAGCTATAAATATGACTCTATAATAAATTTTTCCTCAGAATCCATAATATCTAGTACTAGCTTTTGTCATATTCACTTGCTATAATAAATTCTTCAAATTTACTTGCATAAATTCTTGGGCCGCTTTTCGATAAATGAATTTTTTAACGTATCTATTAAGGCCAAGGTGGTGTAGCCTTTTGTTTGGCTGCAGTTTTCTTTAGCCGTATAGTGTTGGTTTGACCTCGTCTTCGCAGCTTAATCAGAGCGACAGAGACACCTTGTGGAAGATACATAGTCCTGTGTTCTCTGCAATAGTATTCCTTATGATTTCCAACATCAGACCGTTGACTTGGTACATTCCCAGATGTTTCGCCGACATCGTCTGGGGCAGGCGCCATCCTAAGAACAGAATTATAACTTATCAAAGTGACAAGTGTAAAGCAATCCCCTTGACCAATCTTCTGTTCAACCGTTATGGCATCACTTATAGACCCTATTTTTCATCCTAGCTTCTAGCACTGCATCTTTTTCTGTCAAGCCCACTTACAATGGCTATTTACCTATTCACATTATTATGTGCTCTCGTTAACCAATGTCGCCTAAGAGCACGTCTCAAGTGGATTTAGCGAGGAATAATAGCCTTCACAATAGGTTTCACGTTTCGTTTACAGGGCTTCTTGGTCATGGCATGTGACTTTCATTTAGTCCTCTCCACCCCGCTTGTCACTTTTTCCCTGCTACACATGAAAATTACCGCCTTTCTGGTTGCCTATGAGATTTGGTTCTGGTCCCCGTTTACGTCATTCGAGGCATTTTATTCTCCCTAGGCTTTATTTATATGAGCCAATTATGTTCTTTCTTATCCATTTTCCATTAGTTCTCATTCTCTGGGGCTTTGTGTCTGGCTTGATTAGAAACCGCATGTGCCAAAATGGACATGTGGCCCCAGGGGATGAGATAGATTGTAGTGATTGATGATAAAGAAGATAATTGAGTCTTGATCCATAAGCTTTCTTGACTTATATAAAAGCATAATATCAAATCGCAAGAATAGGCTTAGTGGCCTATCTTTGGTCTGCCTATTGCCCAAATACAATTTTACATTCATTAACTATTCATGGCACTTATTAAAAGGGGGGATTTAATTTAGTCATCTTTTTTTATTGCCCTTAAAATTAACTAGTAAAATTCTGCTAATTTCAATAGTAATTAAATTTCCAGTCTTGAGCATAAACTCTTTTTGAAAAATCAAGGCGATGCTTTTCCTCTTTAAGTTTTTTTTATTTTCCCTTATTTCATCGTTATTTCTTA